TATATATGTAGATAATATGGCACTAGGCTTAGCATGTTAAAATGTATCATTCAAATAGAAGCAGCTCTAAGTTTCAAAATCATTTCTTTGGTTACAGCAGTCAATTTTGGAATTTATTACTTAGTAAAATATCTACTGAACTTTTCTTTTACATTTTTATAAAATGTTAATTGTGTATTAATTTTACAACTAAAAGAAAGTGGAAAATGAAAATACAAAAAATACCTTTAATGAGTCTTGAAATATAACAACAGTAAACTACATTGACATTTATATATTTATTTGAATGAAACCTCATGAACATGAAATTTTCAAGCTTTTGTAGAAAATATCCAAGCATTGGATGCTCTCAATCTTCTCATTTATGATTTTATCAGTTTCTTAGCATTCCAGTGGATGATTGATATTTTAATAAATTTCCATATATTGTAAAATATTTTTATAAATGCTACTTTATGTCTTCCATAATTACCTCTTTACCTAGATAATATCTCATTTTCACAGATAAAATCCTCCCTAAACTTGAAAATGTTTGTACTTGCATGCCATGTATGAGATCAGATTCCCAGGTCTTTAGAGTTGTGGTCAAAATTCAGGTTCCTTGTTCTCTCTAGCGTGGACTTTACTTTTTAGTTTGATTGTGTGTCTGAACAACACCCACATGGCCAAGTCAGTACTTTCCTTCGATGTTAATGGTATTGGTTTTAGAGAAGAGATTCCAGACTACTTCACGGGCTGTTTTTCTATAGACGGCAAAGCGTTCAGACTCTATCTGGCTGTGGTCATGTTTACCTTAGGGTCGCATTTATTTCCAATCATAAAGAGATAATCCTTCTTCCCGCTTCTCCAAGGGAATAACCTTCTCTAGAGTGGCTTTCTCGCCTGTAGGATTCTGGTCTCATTAAATATGACTCTTGTTAAAATAAAGACATTCTTCTAATGATTTTTCTTATTGTGTTTTTAATTCTGTTTATGTTAGATAGAAATTAGATTTGTTGAATTTGCCTATCAAGTAAAATTGTGATCTTAAGAGAGAGGGGTTGCCTTCATTTCTGTCTCAGTTCCTTCATGTAAGACCTACCTCAGAAATACTTTGTGGTTATAAAGCAAATGAATCATAGTTTGTCTGGAAAATGATAACCAGGGAGCATCGGGCTAGATTTGATGATCTGTGAGTGCCCTCCACAGGGTGCAATGCACAATGTTTGAAAGTGTTGTGGCTGCTTAATTTTCTTAAGTGTTCTGCCTTGGATCGTTTTTGTATCAGAAATTTATAAAGACTCAAAAAGAAATTAAATCCCTTGATCTAATTGAACAAAGATTTAATCATTTAAGTGAGGGTGGAAAATATCGATTCCAGTGTAGCCCTCGCCCCCACTGAGCATCACCCAGTCCCACTCAACTGCTTGTTAGAAGCTTCTGGAAAATTCTGTGATGGTGCCTGAACAACAGGCAATAGATTTTTAATAGTTTTTTTTTTCCCAAATAGTTCTTTCTAGCAGAAATTGAGTTAAGAGCATGAATGTTGGGAGTTATTCCCCCACCCCACACCATTTGTTTGGAACTAGTACTTAGTAAGTCTTCAGCAGCAGTCAACTGTGTAGACCATGTATTCTGAGCTTTGCTTCAATTCCCTCTCAAATAGTGGTATCTTCTTCTGACTCTTTGAAAATATAATGCAAGATAGAAATTTGCTGTGTGATAGCAAAATCCTCAAAAGAGTCATACGCCTTCATTTTGAAAGCGAATTATTTTAGATGAACAAAAGGGAATCATGGAAAGAAAAAAATCAAGGTAATAAACTCTCAAAGGAGATAAGAATTCTTTCAGAGCAAGTATTTATCTGTCTCTCATTTCTTTAGTTAGTTCTGAGCTAGCAAGTACAGAGCATCAGGTTACCGAAGCAAAGCAGACATTGTGTAGAGCATAGAGATCAGAAAGAGAAGACCAGGCGATACACAGAAGCAGCTATATCCTTCCAGATAAAGGAGCGAACAAATGTGTGGTAGCAACACCGGAAATAGCAAGACATAACTCCCTCTCTGCGCCTCTGAACAGCCACGGGCTCCTTGATTAAGCCTGGTCATTCCTGAGAGCCAGCGATACAGAAAGTCTTGAGACACAGTGTTGGTCCCTGAAAGCTTGAGAAGTGCCACTTGTGTCGCGTGTCACACGCACCAAAAAACACACACCCCACTCAGAAGCCTGCACTGAAAGGGGTACCTACCAGTCGTGCTTAACTCCTATCTAATAACGTGTCTGCCACCCTAAACCACACTGCACTGTGCACACACACACACACACACACACACACACACACACACAAATACACGCGTGCCTTTTTCTGGAAGCATGCTTAGCTAGCTTTTCAGCTTTTGACTCTTGAAATAGACAAAGAATAAGATTGCTGATTAATGAAAGAAACAACTCTGCCAGGGTTTCAACATCATTCATCTCATCTTCCCAAAGACAAATAGGATCATGGCTTAGCTGATCTCATGTGACAGCTGGAATCCATTGATGTGAGGTGTGTCTATGAAGATGGAATGCTGACTGTGCTCTGTAAGAATGCACAGAAGGCACAGTTTCCTGGGCTACAGTGATCCCCTCTGGTTGCAACTCACACTCTGGAAACAGAGAGCGTCCAAGGTCATTGCACAGCAGGAAGGAAATAGAGGGGAAGTTCAGATGACTTTTAAGAGGATAAAAAGTACAAGGGACTCACAATATCTTTGCACACATTCAAAAAAAATTTTGAATTTTTTTGTTTTTCAGTGCCCAAATATAATGACTGGGAAGTGGTCTGGAATATTTTAGGTATGTTCTCCAGAAGGAATAATAATGTTGCTGTGAAATTTTTTCTTGCCTCACATTTTCAGGGGCAAATATCAAAATATAATATAAATATAATGGACCAGTTTTCTTCTACTACCTAAAAATCAGTATTTCTTTCCCTGTCATACTTTAAATAAATGTGATATTTTATAATGCTAGAACTTATAAATATTTACTGTGTATCTTTCCTTACTTTTATTCAAAAAACCCTTACGCAGTAAGTCTACAATGTCTTTTATAGGTTTCTTTTTAGGTCATATCTGAAGAAAGCTTGGGGGAGTGTATTAAATTTCACTTTTGTATACTTCATTCATTTAGGTAGGAGAGTTAAGAAGAGACCCTTAGGGCACTTACAGGGAATTGAACACTAAGACATTTACCCCAATTTTACAATAATGAGATAAAGCAAAAGAAATCCTTGTCAATTTAATAGAAAAATCATCACTAGAGAGAATTTAGTTGCCTTTGAGCTTCACAGCAAGGCATGTTTATTGCTTGATTAAATATTAATATGATTAGAGGTCATGCTCCTTGGTAAAATCCCATTAGTAACACAGAGTGGAATAAAAACATTCAACTTCAGCATTTTTTTGTAGTGCACTTAGAACTGTGTGAATCACAGTTAAAGAGTGAAGACCAGTATGTGTCAGGAATCCACAGAGCAGACTCTGCTATAATCCAGTAAAGCTCAAGTCAAGGAGACATTAACTATGCAAGAAATTTAAAAGGAAGAGTCTCATTCTCTGACAGTCGAGGATGTGAAAAGCCATATTTCAAACATAAGTAGATTAAATTGCAGTTAAGTAAGTACATGTGTCTCGATTAACTAATCAACCATTATGCTTGTAAAGACTAATTAGGTAGAGTTGAATTGTAGGCTACCATAAACTAGCAATTAAATAAGGAGAAGGAATATTCAAAGACCTGGCTTGGTGTGAATACATAAAAGTGACCTGGGACCTTTATGTCTCCATTTTTCTTTATGCAGTTTCAAAATAATATATCTCATGGATCTGATAGTTTTAGAACATTTTTAATAAAGACCATGTCACTCAAAATGAGTGAAACTTCAAGTAGGAAGGGTGGAAAAGGTTGATAATAAGTACAGAAATAGTAAAAGAACTGCTCACTTATGGTGACACTGATATTTTTCAGAAAGACTACAATTTTGACTTAAAAACATTAAGTTATTGGTTTAAAACATGCAAAACAGTAATGATGTGTTCACGCTAAGCCACATCTGAGCTTGGTGTTAGGAATGTTAGAAATTAACAGACAAATTTAACTTCCTGCTGTTCGGCAAATCCTGTAGTCTGTATAATATGTAAAATTAGCTTTTATGAGCTGTTTTGTGTAAGACTCATCTTTAGGACCTGTATTATAAAGAATGCTAAGTCCTGAGAGCTACTTTTTTACTCCTTATTTAAGTCTGCATTTAAATATCCAGAGTACACATGTGATGCAAGTTGTCAGACACACCTTAAACTCTATTACATATTTTCTCTCTTTCATATTATACAGTTTGCCCTGGGTGTCCATGGTTTTCAGAAACACCTTTGGATGGCAACGTCCATTAATGCTTAACTCAACTCTGTCACACAAACTATTCTACACTAGAACATGGATATTACCTAATCTCTTCTTGCCATTGCTTAATTCACCCCTGGCTTGTTTAATATGTTGAACATGGTGTCTAAACAATTCTTGTATATTTCTAAGTGACTCACGAGAAGGAAAGAAGTATGTACATCTTCAACGCAAAATTTTTTTTCATGTATTTTTATCCATATTTGGTTAAATCTCCTGATACAGAGTCTTCAGAACCACAGGAACAACGGTAGTCAGAGAAAACTCACTGTGGAAGACAGAACTCTTTTTACTAGTATTTGAATCTAATGAATGTAGATAGAGTTAAACTATTAATAAAATAAAATTCTGCTATCATTGTTCCCAAAAGTGAGAACCTTGGGATTTAAATTAACAAGATAGGCCTCTATAGTAAAACACTATCTAATTCAATTAAAATTGAATTCTCTCTAAATTGCATGGAGGAATACTGTATTTCACACAGGAACTCTGTGCCACACATACGTCATACAGTAGTAATTTATGTCAGCCATTTTAACACTCTGCTCTTTCAAAAGACTTCAAGGCTCCCTAAAGGATCGGAATGATCATCCCTAAGATCTCTTATTTATGTGTACCTTTAACACAGAAATCCACTGTGCAAATTTCTGCACAAGCCCTGCTTTTATGTGTGAACTATAGGCATCCTGAGCTGATGACAACAGGGTATTTGTTACACTTGGTTTCCAGGGGAACGGTACTTTGCTGAAACCCCGCTTATGCTGCTCCGCGCTACGCGGCCTCAGAATCGCCTTCAAAGAGCCCTTGTCTCCATCTGTGAGCCGAAGGTAAAGAGCTGTGAAGGCAGCTGCTAATGAGCTGACTCGCCTCCATCAGGGCAGGTCTAAATTTACTCCGGCTGTCCCCCTAGGGAACTGTCAATCCAGAATATGAGTGAGAGGAGAAGAAATCATTGCCCCTTCCCAGGAGTATGGCGCTCATGCTAAGTCACTCGCTAATTTGCTAGATACAATAAGGAGTGGATAGTCAGAGGAAAATCCATGTCAGCTAAGTGCTGGCTTCCCAGCCTTCCAGGAACAGTTTCTCCTAGCCATGCTTGCTACATGTGCGTGTGACTCCATTTTGTTACCGTGGCTGATTCTAATTACATATTTCACAAAGTGTACCCTTTCCTGGCGCTTATGTTGCCTTGCTCCCAATGTTCATTTGACAGTGAAATATTTTAACACAGGCTAACAGAATGTGCTTAGGATTAATTGTGTAAAAGCAGTTTTGTTCTGGCAGTTCTCATTAGTCAGCCACGCAAATCATGAGAGAATTAATAGCAGGTGGCCTTCATTCTGGTTACAGTGAAGTGGAGCCACAAAGAAGGTATGTGAGGAAGGTCTGATTGGGGCTGACAATTACACACATTCTGCTGAGACTGGAGTAAATTAGTAGATATCCGTGTGCTTTGGCTTCATTTGTGGGCTTGTCACACTTCATAGAGCTGTGATTCCAAATTATGTAAGGAGATCATTCTGTCCCTGTAACTAAACCTACAGAAGAGGGAATATTTGCTACCACTTGAATTTTACCCTTGTTTATACATCTGCTGTGACTCTTCTAACTAACTTTATTATCTTTACCCAAAACAAAAAAAAAGTGGTTATATTTTATAGTACTCAATTAAGAAAAATTATGATGGTGAAGTTTATAGCTCACTTAGGCTTCCAAAATTACTTCAGTCTTTAAGGATATCATGGAAAACATGTCAAAGTAGGTGGCATATTGGAAAATCATGAACAATGTTTAAAGACAGTGTGCAGCTGTGTCTGTATAAATATGTATCTACATACAAAGGATTTAGATCGTAAGAGATATGTTCAGTTTTATTTTGTGGCTGTGCCAAAACACTCTGACCAAATGCAATTAGGGCTAAAAGGTTTATTTGGTTTACACTTCCAGGTCACCATCTATCATTGAGGAACTTAAGCAGAACTTCAATCGTAAGTTTGTTGGCTCTCTCACAGGCTCGTGCTTAGTCCCCTTTATTATACACTCTAGGAATACTCCCAGGAAGTCCTGCTACCCAGACGGGGTGGAAACATCCACATCAATCATCATTCAATGTGGACAATGCTCCAGGTAAAGTTCTGTCTTTCCGCTGACTCTACTTTGTATCACGAGGACAGTAACAATAATCAACACCAAAGGTCTATTTCTTTCCGAAGTAGTTGATGGTAACCTGGATAATCATAGCTGGTAAGGAGGAAAGCACACAGAGAAGAGACCATCGTCAAGAGACAGTTGAAAGATGAAGAAACTAAGTTTCTCAAAGACTGCACAAGTGGTGCCATGAGTAGCCATCTATGAAACACAGAGAAAAAAAATCACCCGAATAGTGTTTTTACTATTTTACTTTCAAATTTTATGTTTTTTCTTCAATTGACAGAGCTATATCGAGAAAGGAAGTTACAGGTGACCATTGAATCTCAATGAAGCATATACTTGAGGACCTTTCAAAGATCCCAGGCACTGATGGCTTCTGATGGAAGTGTTCTTCATGTAAGTCTTAATAAGGATGAAACTAGGAATTCTTTGTTCTTTCTCCCATATGAATCATATAAAGAATGTACATCAACAAAATTATAAAAACATAGAGAATTCATAGCCCACAAAACCTGTTACATGGATACTATTCAACTGTCATAGAACAATAATCTTATTTTATTTTTTCTGCATATAACTCTATTCCTTCTTTCTTGTCAAAAGTAACTATTTTTCTTAGACCTTATTTCTGCCCCTTAATGGTATTTTCCAATTTGATGGAAACTTTTCCTCCTTTTTCATTTAAATCCTAACATCTAGGGGATGACCTTGGAAGACACTGACATGGGTCTATTGACCTAAATGTCTGAATAGAAAACAGTAGGAAATAATTTGTTTCAACTACCTACTGAAAAATAATTCAAAATGCTGTGCTGTCCAGTCTACCAAGGAGAAAACACTCAAAGACTGTCCTCATTGTTCTTCCAAGAAATGATGACCATGGTCAAACACAAACAAAGCTGTGTGTCTGTGAGTTCAATTGCCATATTAATTCTTGATTAAATCTTTACCATTGAGTACGTTTCCATTCAGGTAATTCTATCATAAAAATACTTTTTCCCATGTGTGATTTACTTTATTAGATGTTAAGTGATTTGACTTAGCCAATTATGTAGGCTGCCCAAAGGAGAACTGTCCAAGAAACAGTGTAAGAAAAAACTATTCTTCAAGTCATTATTTTATTTGCATGCATCTTATTATTTCAGTATTTCAAATACAAAACAAGAAATTGTATCTATTAATCAAAACATGGTTTACCAAGAAATTTTCTTCCATATGCCTTTTACTAAGTGTTTTTAAAGGTAGAAGGCACAGCCTGGGGGGATATTAAAAATGAATGAAATATCAACTTTGCAATAAAATCTCTCGAGATTCATAGAGTCAGCACCAGGGTATTACAATTATTTGATGTCAGAAGTAGGGCAGAGAACAAGATTTTCCAGTACAATTTCAACATTGTTTGGATCAAAATAGTACACAACATATGAACTATGTCACTGCAAAATAAAGATGCTCATGGCCATTACCCCCAAAGATGCATATTATTCCAGAATATGCACATGATGTGGGATTCCCCTCCATATGCTATGAATATGTTTTATTACCACTGGTTATTAAAGAAGGTGTTTGTCACTTCTGTTTTCTTTCGTTTGTGTTATTTTGATTTTCCCCATACATAGTCCAAGCTGGCTGGTGATTGTAATCCTCCTGCCGCTGTCTCCCAAATGAGATCTTACTGATGCTCATCATCATCACCTTCTGCACTCTTGCTTCCTACTCTTAATTGCATTTCTGAAAACTGTGGATTAGAGATTTTGTTACCAACTAGACAATGAGCGCCCACACCTTTAATCCTAGCACTCAGGAGGCAGAGGCAAGTGATCTTGACTTAGAGGTCAGCCTGGTCTCCAAAGCGAGTTCCAGGACAGTCAGGACGGTTGCACAAAGCAAAATCAAAGAAAGAAAGAAAAATATCTTGGTACCATCATTAATGCTGCTGTTCTCTAGGACTTGAGAAAGGATTTTCTTCTCAGGGTAAATGGTGGGTGAGTCGGCATTTAGAAAGTACAGCTTGGTAAGAAAGTTTGTCTATAGGATTCCTCATATCCTTGTAATCTGTATGAAGTCAGAGAAAGCAATTTAGCACTGAAGTGAGCAATATTGGAAAGCAAAAGTGTGACTCAGGAAATGAGAACATGGTAGTCAGTCAGCTGGACAGACAAGGGAACCAGAAGTGCACAGATAAACAGACCATAAAATGCTGGGTGAGTGCCGGGCCTTGTAGATTCTCAGCAATCAGAAAAGTCAAAGGAAGCAGAATAAAGTCATGCCCAGGTCTCACCCAGGCCAGCACAGGAGATCTCATCATTTGTCTTGCTGTCCTGTTGTGCAATTTACGGAACATTTCAGAAGGATGGTGTATGTGTTTCACTAATGAAGCTGTCTATAGAAGCAGAAACACTTCATACTAAAATGAATTAGGCTTAGAATGCTAATCGCCATGCTTTGATATCCCTATTCTTTATCACGTAAAAGGTTGAGTTTTCTGTTTGTTAGTCTTATACGTAATCATCATTTAGAGCCTATGGTAAACTAAGTAGCGTATTATCGTAGGGAGTCATTTTTAACACTAAATGTTAGGAAAAAAATATATGACAAGCTGAGTTATCATCTGTGCACTTCATGGCTTGTCTGAGTGGAGGGAGTGGCCAGGGAGAATACATACTTAAGCCCTTGCATGGGTGCAATCTCAATACAAAGATGACAAAAGCTCTCTTGACTTTTGCTGATTAGTTTATCCTGTATGCAATTTCAAAGCAGATTTGACACAGCTGAGAATGTCCCAGGCATATCTGAAGTTATCATTTCTCTTTACAGTCTGAGAGTTTATAGTGTCACTGCTTCCTAAAGAGATTGTTCTAGCCATATTGTTTGTGCCTTCTATCTGTCCAACATTTGGTCCTTCAGTGGGTTTCCCATTGTTTTAGTTCTTTCATATCTGCCTTCTTTCCTTCTCCCCTTTAACTGGGCACGCTACTGAATTTACTTCTAATATTTAAACCTTTGATCCTAACCTTCTATTTAATGTCATTTCATTGCATATACATTCTCTCCCTTTCATTCAAAAAGGTCGATCTTGCTTCTATCTTCAAATCCTTTTTGAAATAATGCATTCCTGGATGGAAGTGGTCTTCTGTTAATTAGTTAATTCTTTGGCATGTTCACTTCTAACTCTTGACATGTTTAGAAGATCACTTAAGGCAATCCCTCTTCTTTGACTCTAATGAATTTTTTATATCCTTCCTCCAGTACGCAACAAAGATAATTATTTTGAATATTTCAGTGGTAGCAGCTCCTTCTCTAAACATTAAACTACAGATTGACCCACATTTTAGATTGAATCCCTCTTCTCTTTTTTCCATTGCAGTTAGAAATCTATCCTCTCCTTCTGGCTTAATTAGCATTTCTAAATATAACTCTTTAAATTTATGACAATCTAACTCCTTTGTGCAGCGTGCCCTGCGTTTCTAGGGAGAATGAGTGTGTTTCATCAAATAGCAGACGTTTTAACATCTAAAGCACAACCGATTTTCTTGCCTTTCCTCTGATATAAAACTCTTCTCCTCTCTTCTGCTTTTACGTCCTGTCATCTTTATTCTTTGAAAAGCTAAGCCCATTTTCTATCTTCTCTCGGCACTAGGTCCCATACCATTAATTAGTTTTAAAAAATCATGGTTTTTCAGTTTTTCTAAATGGCATATTTCGTCTTTCTCATCCAATTTTGTTTCCCTGCCTTAATTAATTTCCTATCATCTCATGGTTACTTTATGAAAGAGGTTCTTCACTAAGTCAGTCCTTGGCATTACACAATTGCTGATTTCCTCACATCACACAACTCATTGCTCAAGAGCATACACAATTTTTAAAACTTCATTTGTCTTTCTTTTATGAGTTCTTTTCACTTAACGTATATGACTGTTTTGCACGTGTATGTTAAAGGTACTAGAAATGTGTGTGGTAAGGTGGGAAGGGAGGACTGGATGCCTTCCTGCTGGAGCTACGAACAGTTTTGGCTTCTGGGACCTGAACTCATGGACTCCTCAAGAGCATCAAGTGCCCTAACTTCTAATTTCCTCTGGCCCCCATTTTGTCTTCTGAAATTGCCTCACTATTTCCCTCCCCAACCCAGCCCTACTCACTGAGGCCTCCAGATTTAAATATCGACAGCCATCAGGTCTACCTGAGCCATCCAAGGCTTTGAGTCTGCTCTTGTAATGTCTTACACAGGAATTTGAACTAAACTCATATTTCAAGACTAGTACAAAATCTATTTCCTCCACAGAGGACTGTAGTTCACCAGAATCCACAAAGAATTCCTGATTCTATCTACAAAACAAACACCTGTTCCACATATGGTGCATGGTCCAAGCTGTGTGAGCACACACTTTATATGTCCTTAAACTTCTATTATTTTGTGTCAGAAAATGTTTTACATTTCTATATTAGTCATAATATCTTTATTATATACTAAACACAGTATATCCGAAGTTGATTTTAACTAAAGGCTACAGTGCTACCAATAAAAATATAAGCTATGTTTCCCAATTCTAAAACTTGATCTTTCCAGGCTTATATAATGTAGCATTTATTTTTACTAATTTAGTGGGAAAAATTATTCTTCACCTTTGTTTTCATGTATATGTATGTGTATGACTGCCTTAATGCCCATGTGACTTCCACAGTCATTGCATTCTGCCCCTCATCTCCTTTCTCATAAATGAGCCATGAGAGTACCTGTCTTCTCATTTGCACTGTGGATCTGTAAATATGAATGCATAATATGGTATGGATATAAAATTTGCTTGCTTAAGGTTTGTCATAGCACCACAAAGAGAAGCCTGTATACGATACTATGACTATTAGTCCACGTTATAAGAAACAGAGATTTTTTGCAATGGATAAACAGGATTATCATTTAAGAATTTCTATGGAGTACCAAATGATCTTTTTCTTTTTTCGTTGTATGTCATGTTCTCCAAATGCGTATCACAAAGATAGGTACAATGAGTTTGATGGGAATTCTAAGTTTATTATCTGACTGTTTAAAAGCTCTGATAAATTATATAAGCTTTCATACATTTATTTTCCTCTTTCTGAAAATTTTATACCACAATCCAAATTGGCCAGCCAGCCCATTTTGAATCTACACTGTCTTGTGAAGGTACAAGAACTGTGCTGAAGAACAGCAGTGCCCTCTAGTGGCAACATTCTGTGAAAACCCTGCAAACAATTTTTAAATCTATCTGACTTTTTTAGGGGCAAGTATTTCCTAGCAGAAACTGCAGCAAATATGCAATTTCCCTCACTATCTCTTCACTATAAAATTTATTAAAATCTGTGTGACCATTAATTATTCTCAGAAATTTAATTATCAAGCTTTCTAATGTAGAAACCCAGTTCAGATAAACTTTGGTCAGGTTTCTAGCAAAACCGGCCTCATGCATTTTCCAAATAAGAGTAGACAGCCAACAGATATTTAAATATATGAGGCATTTTCTAAACTTATATTTTCTTTTAATTTATCCGTGAAACATTATAACTTAAGAAGACTAAAGAATCCATGAGGAAAAGAATCAGCCTTAGAATAAATGCAAATATTTGTCCCTATTACTTAGTTGACTAGAATACCTAAATATATTGAAATAATAATTAATTCTAGTGGTTTATTTACATATCAAGGAAGATAAGCCTATGTATATTTGTACTTCAATTTATTTAAATAAATATCAATCAGTTTCCTGGAAGATGAAGGTACTTTAGCATGCTATCCTCATGAAACATGTTCTTCTAGAATTGTTGCAGTTAAACATATTCTATTATTTCACTGGGTCCTTGACTACTGATCATAGAGCAACTTAACAAATAAGACACAGAAAAATAAGCATTTGAGCTGTGCTT